TGCTGGAAACTGTTGTGCTAATATATATATATATACAGTATATATATATATTGTTATTTATACGTGACTTAAGTGTTCAGAATAAATTTATATTATTTATGACCACATTTTTGTATTATTATTATTATTATTATTTAATTGACTTTAGACTTTAAGCATTAGAACATGCTTATTTAATATATAAACAACTTTATGATGAAAAAATAACTACATTGTGATTTTTTCAGTGATATAAAACAGTAACAGTGATTTAGTCAGAATTCACTTATTGTTGGAAAATGCATGTTATCATTCGACCAGGCTTTCAGCAGAAAGTGCAACCGACACGCTTCTCGGATAATCTCGAGTCTCAGAATGGCCGAATCTCAGGCGATTAGCTGTCCAGTCCAATATATCAGTCTATCACTAGTACCGTGAAGATTATTGGAAGTTTTATTGCTTGTACCTTCAGGGTTTAGCTCATATGTTGAAGCTGTCATATAAGCCAGTGTTTGTGCAATCTCCATGGTCTCTCTTCATGTATCTGTGTACATGTCAAAAAACTCTAGTCTACTGCTGCATTATTACCTCGCTGCCATCTCACTTAACTGTGACTGGCTCCATGCAAGCAGAGAGCATGATGGGACTGACGCCCTTGCAGTGATCTGAGACAATATATCATAAAAGAGCCACTGACCTTTATGAATATTGCAAGGGCACACTCTCACCCCCACCCTAAACTAAACCTGTTAGCCAATCTCTCCTCTCACCCTCCCAATGGGAAATATTAAACTTCCTCTCAGGATAAGGGCCCAGTGGTGTCTCCACGCTACAGAGAAGGAGCTTTACAGCGCATGGTTCACAGCCGGCAGCATTGGCTCTTAGCCAGTGTAGGGTTTAAGACCACAGGTCGATGAGATGTGCACCCTGACCAAACGGATTTCCCTGTATTTGAGAAGGAGGACTTTATCGACCCACTGCAGGCCCTGATGGGAGGTTCGGCTTGAAAGGAGAGGTTGCTTGGGTTCTTTTCTTGAGAGGCCGCAGGGAAGGAGGTTCTGTGGGGGACAGGAACTCCTCCAGCCTCGGATCTCCAGGGACCTCCACAGGTGATTAGACACAAAGTTTTTACACACTTGTAAATCTTTGTGGGATTGTTTATGGGTGCATATGCATTTCTGACTGATTTCTTCTGCCAAATTCAGATTATTGCGCACATAATGAGAAGGGAAGCTGTTTGATTTAAGCCTATTACGTTATACGTATACTCCAAAATGTAACACTAACTTGGGATTTCTAAAATCAAAACTGACAACTCAACGTAAGGATGGGCAGCATGACCAAAATCTTATACCACAGTATCAGTCATTTTATATAACCGAACCATTCACAGTATTCACTGAAAAAATATATTTTTAAGTTGAAAATACAACAAATATTATTATAGAAAGTTTTATGTTTTTATAATTCAAAATTTCATGTTTAGTTCAATGTTTTACTTGCCATTTCTTTGAAATTTCGTTTGAACTTTCTGAGAAAATTGTTTCTACAAATTTCTTTTTCCTGGAAAATAGAGAAAAAAATTGTTTATATATTAAATAAGCATGTTCTACTGCATAATCCAGTGTATAACTGCGTGTGTGTATATATACAGTATATATATTTTTTTAACTTTATAGGCACTAACAGGGATTCTCAACTGATTTTTACACCTGAAACTTTTATGATATAAAAGTATATATTTCGAAGAAAGTTTCAACTGTTTATCTTTCATACAATGACAGACAATGGGGTCCAAAACAATATTGGACACCACTGACTTTTCATTTTTGCATGAACTATCCATTTAATTGGTGACACCACACTGCACCAGAATTATATAGTGTATAAAACTAAAAACACTTTTGAAGAATTTTGGTAACCAAACTGTTTTGATCCCCATTGACTTCCATTATATGGACAAACATACAATGGAAGTCATTGGGAACTGAAACTTTTTGTTTCCCACAGAAAAGAAGAAAGTCAAACAGGTTTGGAACGACACAAACTACGTGGACTAGTATCCCTTTAAACTTATGAAATATGTTAATACTGCTTTGAACTACATTTTACAGCTATTTGAAAATATTTATTTAAATGTAATTTTGACCTTTCAGAGAATTAGAATATCTTTCCCTATTCAAGTACATAGGAGCAGTAATTGTGTGCCATAGAAACACACAGAAAACATCTGACCAGAGGCTTTACTGAGATGGCTGCCGTGTGACCCGATCTGCTTGCTGCAAACTGCTCTCAAAATGATCAGCATGCTTATATTTCATTTCCACAGAGAGTTCAACAAAGGGCCAATAAATACAAAACGCACACATTCAACACAAGCACGGCACTGATCTCAGCCTCTAGTCAGTTAAACTCCTTTGTGTTGGCTTGCAATCACACCCGACTCAAATCACAGAGCTCAAACACACAGCTGCCTCTGAGACTGTACATCACAATAAAGTAATAGCACTTCCTCTGAGAGCTCTAGTTAACCTTGAGCCTGTGCTGCGTGAGGGAGAGATTAATGGTGTTTATTGAGAATGGAACAGGAGAAGAGAGGAAAATTAAGTTAGAATACGCAATACACATAAAAATTAAAGACTTGTGTTATGGCTACTCACATAACTTCAAGCACAATAGAAAAAAAAACAAGAATGGCGTGTTTCAGAGGAATGATTTATACTTGAGACCCAGGTCCAAAATTAACACCCAACAAGTGTCAAATGCAATTTAAAAACGGCCTTTGGTGAGCAGATAAAAAATGATTTGCCAGTGTCACAGTAAATGACAGTCTAACCCTCACACATGCAAAGTGATTCAAATGAAAATCAATATGAAATAATAAATTATAATTACAATTATTAAACAATTAATTAATTAATAGATAATAAATGATTATATCTATTATATATTTAAAGAACATCAATACTTTTATTCAGAAAGGACACATACAATTAACAAAAAGTAACAGTAAAGACATTTTTTCTAAAAGAGGTGATGATTTCTTTGTTCTTTCAAATTTTCAGAAAAAATATATATCCTAATATATATCCTGAAAAAAAATCTATATAAACAGCCTCATGGCTGGCAAATGTTCTCGATTCACTTGCTTTGGCAGGTGTGGAAAAGAGTTAATTTGGACTCTGCCTGAAGGGGAAAAGGAGAGAAAGAAAGAGAGAAAATAGTCTACTGAAAATGTGTGAGAGACAAAGAAAGAGTCATTTTTGGCAGAGAAAAAGCAATTGTGTTGGAAAGACTATCAAATAATGAAAGGCGCAGGAGTCGAGTGCCAAATAAACGCTCTGCAATTTACTCTTAATGGAAAGCAAAATCTGAGTGCGTAGAAGTTTTGATGAAAGAGATCTCCTCCATTAATAAACATGCAGCTCCTGCGCTGCTTATTTCAGCCTTTGTGTTCCGGCACTCTCGGATCATTGAAGGATCTGAGCAAGCGGTAATGTGAGTGTGAGTCTGTGTGACTCTGTACAGTATGTGTGTGTGTGTGTGTGTGAGTGTGTGTGTGTGAGAGAGAGTGGCTCAGTGTGTGTGTTAATCTGGGGGTTGTGTAAAGCGAGCAAATATCAGTGCACATTGTCCTGTAGAGGCATTTGATGATATAGGTGAGGGTCTAACACTGATAAAGTGATTTCCGAAGTGTGTACCTAGCATTTACATAATACTGTGTACATTGTGTGTGTGTGTGTGTGTGTGTGTGCAGGCAAACTCTTTGGAACTGACCCATCACACAAACACACACCAGCTGTTCAGTAAGCCCTACTTGACTCCAGATGCTGCTCTTATACAACTTAATTTTGTAATTGATCAGCACTAAAAATGGAGTGTGTGCTCATGGGTCGACATGCACACACAGCCTGTGTGTGTATGGTGGGCACCTGCCATTGACTTATGCTGATTGTGTACTTTATGCACTAGATATTTTCTAGCTTCTAAAACAAACCCTCCCACAAACCTTTCTGCATTAAGACATTATTTAATATGTTAATAAGCCATTTGCCTCATGGGGACCATTTAGTTATTATTACGGTACTATCAATATTATTATTATTATTATTATTATTGTTACTACATCAGTAATTTCTGTTATGAGCACATTTCTGGCCTTTCAGTTACCCATAACCCTGTTTACTGAATTCTGTGACTACAGCAAAGGGGTCTTTGAGAATTACACTGCATTCAGACACCAATTTCTCTCTTTATTGTGGTATAACCTAGCAGACAAATGGCAATTTCACCTCAAAGAAATTACTATAACCTCCAATTATGTGCAGAACTTTTAGTCTTCTGGACATAAACCACTATCAGTGGATTTGCAATTGTGTAGTTTCTGTTGTTCAGCAAAGAGCCACAATAAAAGGACCATCTCAAATAATGGGGAAAAAAGGTAAATGGTTTTGTATATTTTTTGATAATACTCATGTGATCAATTATGAATCCACTAAACCAAAATAAAATAACCACTGACCACTGCTGCCGATCTCATTAAAGAGGACATGAACGTCTTTAATCCCACATGGTGGAAAGACATCAATGACACGAGGATGCAATGAAACTGAGAAGCACTAAGATGAATAAGCTGCTTTGTCACAACTTAATTTGGCTCAAAAAGGGACTATTTCACTCAAATCAAATGGAGATGAGTGAAAGCATCTGCTGCAGTATTACTGAGAGAGGACAGTGTCCTCAAATACTGTCTCTACCGACATTAGGAGCATGACACCACTCACAGACAAAAAACATGAAACCAGCATTCATCGTCCACATTACACTGACAAATGCAAAAGCTGCTATGTGAAAAAGCAGCACTAACATTTATTTTACAGTGTTTAACTCAACTGTCTCTTGCTAAACAGGTTTTATCCTGATAAAAAAGTGAACTCACTGATGCACTTTATTTGCTTTATTTGGAAAACAGGGAACGATACTAGGTAAATACTAGTGTAAATATTTTATGAAGAACATACCTGGAAGGCTGGTGGAGATGTTGACCTGCGTGTAGAACCTTTTGTTGGGGAGTAACTCAGAGACGCCATTCCGGGCCTCCACGCTGAAGGAGTAGTTGGTGTTGGGCAGCAGGTTCACGACGGTGACTGTGCGCTCCGTCAGGCCGCTCTGCTGTGGTACGAATCCCACGCTGGCTCCGCAGGATTCACACTGCACCTGCGGGGCCCGCGGGGGGCCGACACATCGCCGGCAGCCTATGCTGTAGGTGAGATCCCCTCGGCCGCCTGAGTCATTTGGAGCGGCCCACTCCAGAATGAGCGTGGACTGTTTGAGGGTGTAGACCAGATCACGAGGTGGAGAGGGAGGGCCTGTGTACAAAAATAAATATATAAATAAATAAACAAACAAACATACAAATGAAACGTGTCATGCTTGATTAAAACAAAGTGTTCAATACCACACATGCCACACACACACACACACACACACACACACACAAAAAACACATTCATAAGCATTAAATAAATGCCATCTGAACATACTCTAATTAACATGATGATAATTACCCCTCAATGAACTGTAATTCTTTTTAATAATTTAACCCAATTAGCTACAACTGGGTAAAGCTTAACGGAGCTTTAGGCTTAAAATCACTTCAGAGGAAATGAACACAGGCCATGGAAGACAGTCAAAGAGAGATCATGGAGTATTGAGGGCATTGGCAAAGACGAACACAGCTCTCATGCACTAGCAAGAAATCCATTCATACAAATACAGGGAGAGGAAAGGCTCCTTACAGTAATTTGACTGAATCTGTGGTAGCAGAATTAAAATTAAAAAAGCAAAGATAAAAATAAAATTAATCATTTAAATTTTGTAATAAAAATAATAACAATTCTTATTATTATTACTATTATTAAGTGTTTTCATTTTGTATGAGTATTTTTCCATTAGTATTATTATTACTAACCCGTTTTAGACAAAAAGCATGTCTAAGGGAACATACAAAATTAACACATGTATCCGAGATTTTTTAAAAAGTTTTTCAATTAAAAAATATAATTTTAAATTTGGTTAAACTAAATTCACACAATTGCTAACTAACATGAATATTTAGCTGTAGAAGCCTTAGAAATTCAACTTAAACACCACAATACGCAGCAGTACCAATAACTGTGTTTTTCAGATTTTCAAATGGGTTTTGTGATAGCTTATAAAAAGCATTTGATTTCATGGTAAGATCAAGGACCTTAAAGCGGCTGTATAGAACTGAATGGCTTGCTGCAATGGCATTCACAACTACTTCCCCCAGAAGCTACAACTGATTTACGGTGAATGATGTGGGCAGAATGAATGACAGTCTCTAACACAGAGAGAGAGAGAGAGAGTGATAAAAGAGGGGTGGGGAGGAGGAGAGAGATCAGATGTGTTAATTGCTGCTGTCCTGTAACGCGGGACTATTCTGTTGACTCTGGGAGGAGTGGGTCAAGGCTGGAGCCCTGTGTCTCTAATGTCGTTTGTCAGACAAGAATCTGTCAGCAGCAGGAAGCCATTTAAATGTCACCAGGGCTTTAAGCTGCCCATCATCAGCTCAGGCCAAGAGCACTACAGGTGCCTCCCGCTGCCCTCAAACACAAACACATACACACTGCAAAGATGGACTCAATATGCTGCAATGATAGAACCTTCCCGTGTAATATAGGGAGTTTGCTTTTCTTTTTTTGACAAGTTGGTCAAAAAATAGTAATCCACAATAAATATGATCAAACAAAACAAAACCTTATCTGAACCATTATCAATAAAACAAAACTAGTGAAATAAGACTAAGAATATAATATAATAAGACTAAGACTAAATAAATGATTAAATGTTTTATTATTATTATTATTATTATTAGACTTATCTGAATCAATTTCAATGAATATTACTCACTATATAACTTACTAAAACAACTAATACATATTAATAAAACAAGATCAAATAAGACTAATAAACAAATAAAATTAAAAATGAAATAATAATAACAAAAATAATTAAAAATAAAATAATTGTATTAAAATTAAACGATTATATTTGTAAAATAAAAATAATATTATATTATATTATTATAGAATGTTACATTCTAAATTATTTTATATTACAAGTTTTACAATCTTTCTTTTAACTAAATGCCACTTTCAATAAATGCCACCAAAGGAATTTGAATTAATCTGAATTAACTGTGGGATCCAAGTAAAGGTATAAATCATTATAATCAAAAGCATCATAACTGGTGCTACATAGCATTTCTGAGTGCCTGATTGTTCCCATTCAGTCAGTCACGTTCAACGTTACGTCAGTGACTGACGAATTGGGATCTCGCCCGAGAGCCCAATCCCCTTCGAGTGTTAACTAAACAAGCCAATGACAGTTGGCGTGGCGAAACACGCACGCCAACTGTCATTGGCTTGTTTAGTTAACACTCGAAGGTGATTGGGCTCTCGGGCGAGATCCCAATTCGTCAGTCACTGACGTAACGTCTCCGTTCCCTCCTTCAGGGAACGAGGGTTACACAAGTAACCTAGACGTTCTCTGGTACATGCATTTGTTAAGTTTTAATTTTGAGATCTAGGCTTTTGAAAAAGAGCCCCTTGTCTCATAAATGCAGCAGATGATAATGAAACTGTAACACAAACGCTCAAGTGTGAGTGTGTGTATGGAATAATTTAGATGTGTGCAAGAAGCGTTGTTTTATTAAAGGCTCTGAAGGCTTATGCAACGGGGCCCACGTGTGGCCAGGAGCAGTGGGGAACAGCTGCAGTCAGGATACATCCACCACAAGAGACACACACACACAGACAGAAAGCAGCACTTTATCACTTCCGTTAGCACATACACACTAGGGTACAAACATACACACACACACACACACACACACACACACACACACACACACACACACCTATATACAGGCACATTACCAAAACAGAACTGCACAGAAAATAGACATAGAAAAGTAATGCAATCCATATCATGCTACCTCCTTTCAATCCTTTGTCTTCTGTCATTTACAGTCATTAAAGACATTTCTCTCTCGCTGTAATAAACTGGTGCCATCTGCTCATAAGAGTGACTGTAAAATCTATACTATAATTAACACAATAACAGAGTCTTTGTCTCTTTCATATAACAGCAGCCTAATCAATACAGTAATTAATGGTGTAAATAAAAGTCATAAGCACTCAGAGACCCATTCAGCCCAGAATAAAGGGCTGGTCACACAAGAATTGAAAGGTTAAGTGTGTGATGTCTGTGCCACTAGAGCCACTAAACAGAAAAGCAAAAAACTAATGATTGTTTTGGAAATGGTTTTCACTCCCACGTCTGCCATTGGTAAGCAAACAGATAGTCCCCCCTAAACTCACGCCATTGGTTGAGCTAACTCTGCTGTGTCAGACTTTTTGGTGCACTTTTCAGTGACATTAACCTATGATTGGTTTATAGTTGGCTAATAATGGTTACTAATTAGGGTTGTGCCGATAGACGATAGTATTGTGTATCGATGATAGTCAGAGATATCGACGATAGCAGATGTCTTTGTCGATAGTCAAGATGATATTAGGCTCATTCTCCTATTAATGTATTAAATTATTATTATTATTAGGCGGCCTATTATAATTCGGCTATTATTATCAAATTGACCCGCTATTTCACTTCAGCACCAACACTCACACACGCGCGCGCGCGCGCGCAAATGAGGATTAGAGCCTGTAGCCGGTGAAGGAGTCTCCAACCACAAACACAGACGTACATCGTCTGCTGATATAAGGTATTTCATTGCACTTTAACAAGTAATCTGAACGGCCTATATATGTGCAATATTTTAACTGAGCCCTCTTCACTAACTGAGTTTAATGCCACAGTTATGTTAGAACGCCTCTCATTCATGTTTCTGTGGCGGCACTTTTTAGGATGGATGCACCTTTTTGGGCTTAAAAACCCCCCCCCCCCCCCCCCCCCCCCCCCCGCACGGGGGGCGGGAGAGAGAGGCTACAATAAA